TTTTATTTTGCCAGGTAAGGCCCACCGAGCTATTTAGCTCTTTTTTCAGAAGCGACCTGACCACAAATAATAGCTCAACCAAGTGGCTTATCGCGTAGAAATTGATAGCAGTCAAGTACTCTAAACGCACGTTGATTATATCCACAGCCGCAGGATTTCACCTCAATATACAATGAGTTGGTGCGCTCTCAATCAGCCATCGGCCGGGCCAGTGGCGGCTATGCCCGTGGCCTGTAGTCCAGCACTGCGGATGGAACGGGGGTTGGTGGATTGCACCGATGTTGCGTCGAGGTGCCATGTGCCATGACCCTGACTCGCCAGGAGGACGCACGACAGCAAGTGGACTGATCGCCATCTATTTATATATTTTATATCCATACGGGTATCGAGTGTTGCCCCCTCGCATGCGTGGGATTTATCCGGGTTGCTCCGATCTTCTTAACACGGTATGTATGTACCTCGACATTTGTTCCCACCATACGTAGCCGACCGTGCTTATCGGAGGCGCAGGGAAATGACAACAAACTAAACAGGAAAATCAGTTCTAAAGAAATTAGTTTTCCACCTAGATTTTTTTAAAGTGCATAGCTCCAGTGGCTTCCTGATATCGGAAGGAAGAGCGTTCCAGACGGCCGCAGAAGCCCATCTGAAAAGCCTGCGATGTGGTGACCGTGTACAATAAACACACTCGTCATTAATTGTTTGAAAACATCTTACAATAAAAACCCCAATGTGGCAGTAACCTTCATAAAAAAAACGTTGTCCTACGGTATTGCTCTTTAAAATTAAGAAGCCAACATCGGGAGAGTTGAAGCACGAAAAGGGCGGTGATGGTCGGAGGGGGGGGGGGGTTTGGCGATGCTGGCGGATGGGTATCGATCTCATCTCTCCTCCGAGACGTGAGCCGCAGCAGCAGCCGATCGCGGCGGCGGCGGCGGAGTGAGCGATGATGACACAGAAGGCCACGGCCGTGTTTGTATTCAGGTCTCGGGTCGAAAGCGCGCACCGCGAATAAAAGCGACGGTCATCACATTTGGAAAACTGCTGCCGGCAACGGCATTTCAACAGCGCTCGGGGTGGGTGGCCAAATGTCGCGTAATTAATGAAAATAGCCGGGAGAGGCTGAATAATAGCAGCAGCAGCAGCACGACTGCGCGGAAAAAGCCATTTTACAACCGTGCAATATATATACTACAGACATCTGCCAAGTTTAGGGTATTTACAATACGTACGCGTGTGTGCCTGTGTTTGCCTGCATTCACACTCATAAATCCACACAGGGACAGATCGTTGGCGAAGTGCGCATCGTTCTTCTCCAGCGGATGAAATTGATAATTCAACACGCTCACTGCCGAGTCCGTGTATGGTTTTTCACACACCACATGCCGACGGCGTGACCAGAATCGCACACGCACGCATTGTTTTTCCCTCCCCAGTGCTGATATTTATATACCCTTTACAGGGGTACTCGTTTAAGGCCGAGTCAACCTAGGGGAGGCCCAGAACCGGTTGTTTAGATATCACTCGCCGATGGTGTTAGCCATGGTTGGGAATCGAACCCATGTGAGCATGATTCCTAGCGCAGTACCCGAAACCGCAGGGCCACTGATTCCCACAATTGCAGACGCAAGCACACACACGTGTATACGCACACGTGAACACACACACCGCAAACACACACGCGCGTGAATGGACTCACACACACACACACACGTAGGCACTGGGGAAACTGTTTAGCACGGAGGAAAATTGACTTTGTAGTAATGTGATGTTGATGATGCGTCAGCATTTCAGGTCCAGGGTTTTTGGCGAAGTTAGAGCGAACAGATGGAGAATAAACCCCACGACTCCCGTCGCCATGACGGGCACGTCGTTAGCACGCAATCAGCGCGGGCCCCCACCTCATCAGAGATTCGGCGACTCCGGTAAGGGGCCGCGTGCAACAAACCACGCGCATACAAATACAAAGATCCTACGTATAGCCTAAACAGGCTATTGGGACAAGTGCTGTTAGCGAGCACCTATGAAGGCCGGGCAATGCACACGAGGGGGTGGGTGGCCAGCACAATGCCCGACCGCCTTTGTTTCCCTAGTGGTTATGTTTACACACCGCACCCAGGTACTCATTTGAGGCTGAGTCGACCTAGGGGAGGCCCAGGACCGGTTAGGATAATCGTCACTGGTGCTGGTCGTGAGCGAGAATCGAACTCGGGTTGTTCGGTTCGTAGCGCAGCATAGCGCTAACCACTACACTACCGCTCCCCACACTCACACGTGCACGCCACACACACAGACACACACACAGACACACACACAGACACACACAGACACACACACACAGACACACAGACACACAGACACACACAGACACACACACACAGACACACACACAGACACACACACAGACACACACACACAGACACACACACAGACACACACAGACACACACAGACACACAGACACACACACATACACTCACACACACAGACACATACAGACACACACACACAAACACACACACACCCACAGACACACACAGACACACACACAGACACACACACACACATGTGCACGCCACACACACCCGCGCCCTTCCCTCCTTCTCACTGCCTAAGAGAGAAGTTTGGCATCAAAAGCGCCGCACATGTTGTGTGTGTGCGCGTGTGCGTGTGTGCATGTGTACGCTGAACGCGCTGCGCTATGAAACCGCTCACGGCCACCAACACCCAGTGACGATTATCTGAACCGGTCCTGGTCCTCCCCTAGGTCGACTCAGCCTCAAATGAGTAGATGGTGCGGCGTGTAAACATCGCCACTTGGGAGAGACAAAGGCGGCCAGGCGTGATGCTGGCCACTCACTACCTCGCGTGCCGTGCCGGCCTTCATAGGTGCTCGCGAACACCCCTTGCTCCAACAGTCTGTTAAGGCTACACGTGCACACAAGCATCCATGAAGGACGGCCACGGCAAACGCCGGAGTGGGTGACCTCCACCACAACCGCGGCCGCCTTTGTCTCCCCACCGCTGACGTTTTATACACACCGCACCAGGTACGCATTCAAGGCTGAATCGACGTAGGAGAGACTCGGGACCGGTTCAGATATTCGTCACTGCTTGCTGCACCGGGACACGCGGTGACGAGCGGTAGTGTTGTGGTTAGCGTACTGCGCTCCAAACCTGCCGACCCGAGTTCGACGATTCCCGCTCACGACCAAAGACAGTGGCGAATTTTCTGAACTGTTCCTGAGCCTCCACTGGGTCGACTCAAACGAGTTCCTTGGTGCGATGTGTTCCCATCGCCGCGAGGGAGACGAAGGCGGCCGGGCGTGGTGCTGGCTACCCACCCACTCGTGTGACGTGCTCGCGAACAGCACTTGCCCCAATAGTCCGTCGAAGCCTGTACGGGGGGTCTTTACCTTTGTCTTTATATATAAATAACAGCTTTCATGTCTGTTCATTACCTGCAATGTGCGAGTGACAAAAATCGGTGAATTCATGAGGTTCCATTCTATGTAGTTTTTTTTTTTCAATTACACGGTAATATTGTACCGCTGTTCCCGTGTCGTACGGTTAGCAGCGCAGCTAATCAAAACAGAAATCATTGCGACCGCTCGCCTGTAACGACGACGGTTTGTTTGTGAGAGATTGTGGTGCGCAATTTTAGTGGGGGGGTGGGTGGGGTGGGGGAGGGTTTGGTGTTTGCTCGGAAATCGTGTGAGGAAGGCTCTCCCGTTTGCAGTCGGATCGCACTCGCGGAATCACAGCAGGCGACGCATTGATTGTCTGATCCTCCATAATAGAGACGTGTTTGGGGTGAGATCGCGTAAATATATAAATGCGTCGTTAAACCCGCCACCACCCGACACAGCCAATTAGTAAGGTTTGGCACGGAAACCAAACATGCCAATTCGTTACTGGTACAGCACACAGGTGTGTTGGAGAGTACACTCACGAAAAAGGTCACATCTTGTAGGCCCACAACATTTACAATTCTAGTACCGTGACGCTTCGCCAGCAATGACGACCAGCATCATCAGGCGACAACCAAAGTTTTGGAGAAATCCTCCTGGATTATGGATAATATTTGGTCGCGAAAGCCTCTGTGCTTTAACTCATCTGCTCTCTGTTGCTGTTGGCTCGACAGATGCCGCTTGTGATTGACTGCAGGAGATCTTCTCCATGTGTTTCGTTGTGTCCCATAGACGTGACTTTAATAGCGGCCAGTCACTCTTGACTTTGGTTCGAATCCACGGGCCGCGGCATTTGGAAACAATTGGGAACAATTCTTAACCCTCTATCACTCTCACACCCTTCAGGACACCCAGCAGTGAACATGAGTTCATGGCGCGTGGATTTTCCTCCGGAACCTCCAGTTTCCCCCCTCCACATTTAGAATCAACGTCACGCGTTTAGAGTTTTGGCTGCTGCTGCAGCTGCTGCTATAAATTGCCACGTGATAGTTTTGATGGTAAGCCATTTCCGTTGAGCTATCATTATCTTATGGCCAGGTCGCTCCGCAATAAGAGTTGTACAGTATAGCTCAGTGGTCCTTATCTGGTCAAATACAATAAACAGTTAATTGGCAAACACATCTGGCCAAAGTGGAAGAGTAGGCCAATTGAGCTCTAGAATTCGCTCTGGTTGGAGGCCCCTTCAGCCAGCAGTGACGTGAGCGGGACATTGCGAGGCTGCGTCGGTTTTTTTTTGTTAACGTGGAATGTTCAATAACACCCATGGCTGGTTTAGTTTGTGCACACGCTATGTAGCAATGTTCTACAAGAAGCAACATATAAAGAATCGACATAAATGCGTACACAATTATGCAGAACTTGTTGCGGTGATGTTATGAAACTTGACATATATGTGAACTGGAAAAATGAATCACATTTTCCCGTAAAATCCACTTTAAAATATCGAGATTTCACCCCTTTCTTTGGGCTAAAGAACATCTGTTACAGAAATCGTCTGCTTGCTGACAATTGCTGGGCACGCCGATGTTACCTTTTTGCTCGGAAGATTTCGTGTCCGCGTGTTACTGCCTCGACTGATGGTGATGGATTATATTCGTGCAGGAGGCCTTGCGCTCACAAAGCCATTACTCATCGGTGCGAGATCTGAAAAGATCAAAGGCAGCATTACTCCAGAAATTTGTATTTAAAATCAAGGGAGGAGGGCTTTCCATACATATATAAATTTTAGAAATACAAGTTTTGGTGTCCCTCAATAGCTAATGAAATCCCATGTTCCTCACATTGTTATTTAACCAGACGACACAAGGCCACGTGCTCTCGTGTCCCCGACAGCAAAGCAGTCTCTCCCTCCACGCTAAAGCGAGATATCGAGACTCAACGCGACACAGCGGTTGCGAGATTCGCACCCGCACCGTCACCGTGGCAGGGCCCTCTCTCATCACGCACCCGCGACTTCCCCACTCCATCGCTGCCTGGCCTGGCCTGACCTGCAAAGGGCACGTTCTCTGCCGCGTGCCTCCGTGGGCAAAGTCTTGCATGGCTGCCGTGCCTCGTCTTGCCGTGGTTTCTGGACTCAAGGTGATTCCCGTGGCGATTACGACGGCGGCGGCAGCCCGTGTGATTTGATGGTCGCGGCTCTTGGTAGTTTCACATTATAACGACACTCATGGGCTGAGTTTACAATGAAGGTTTTAAATGAAATAGATATTTGGTCTAAATAAAAAAGTCAAACTCCGCCTATGATGACACGTGTTATACGGCGGCCTCTGCAATGGTCCAGTACTCGAGCCATACAAATGAATACACAAGAAGTTGATAACGTAATCATAATAATTTACCCCCCCCCCCCTCTCCACAAGGGGCCTGTTACATTGAGATGTTGGGCTAACACCGTTGACATTGTGCCTACGCACGGTGCGAAATAAGTTCAACATACCTACGCTGTGCGTGCGTTTTCAACTGTCGGAGGAAACAGGAGAACTACGGAGGAAAACTCATGCAGAGCGGGGGCGACACGCAAACAGCCCGAGACAAACATGCACCCACAGACAGAAATGGAACCCGGGTGATTAAATTTCGACTTAAAGCTTTCGTGACTGCAGGGATTCATCTTCTTGGTTCTTTCGGTAAAGTCACGTAGAATGGAAATAATAAAATAATAAAAATAAAACTATCAAATAATTCTCACGACGTTTCGGCCACAACGCAAGCAGCCATCCTCAGGTGGAGAACAGAGTCTTCTCGACAGCCCTGTTCTTCACCTGAGGACGGCTGCTTGCGTTGTGGCCGAAACGTCGTGAGAATTATTTTATAGTTTTATTTTTATTATTTTATTATTTCCATTCTACGTGACTTTACCGAAAGAACCAAAAAGAGGAACCCAGGTGGTTTGGTGGTGGTGGTTTGCCGGCGAGGCTCGAGTATTAGCACCGCGCCACGCTGCTGCGCCCAACACACACCGCGCGTGTAGGCGGTCCGTGTTACGCGTCTTAGCCGCGGAGTGAGTGGGACCCGTCCATATTGACGCGATGGTTGATTGTATGTACGTGCATGCCGAACTTCTTTCGCGCCGTACGCGGGGGGCAACCGTGCTCATCGTAGGTGCGGTGGAAGGGCAATACTCAAACTAAACCATTTGCTATTGTTATTTTACCAGGTGAGGCCCATTGACGCTATAAATGTCTCTTTTTCAGAAGCGACCTGGCCTGTAAACGTGAGCTCAACGAAGAGGCTCATCGTCATCGTGTGGAATGTATAGCAGCAGCCAAAAGCTCTAAACGCGTGTTTCTAAATGTGGAGGGGAAGACCGGAGGACCCAGAGAAAAATAAACCGATGGCCGGCTGCTGTCACCACAACTGTCGTCTCTCAAGCGAGCGGCTGTTTTTGCTTGGAGGCGGAAGTAGGGGGGGTGGGGAGGGGGGTGTCTGGATGCGGACGAGACATTTGCGTCCTAAGTGATGAAACATCGCTTCGACAGGGAGGGGATGACGCGCGACTCCTGGAGCCCGCCAAGACTGCAGGCGAGAGTGATACTGCCACACGGCTCGCATCACAACGCGGTGCACACGCACGCACTTAGGTATTTACAACACGTGTAGAGAAGGGCAGCGCACACGTGAAATTTCAATATCTGAAAAGGACCCCATAGCCGGTTGCACATTTCCATTTAAACAAAACAAAGAGACGGAGTGTAGGCGGCATCACGTGCTTAGAGACGCGTGCTGCGGGAGATTAACGGCGAGGCGAGTCGCGAGAGGGGGGGGCAGAGAGGGGGGGCAGAGAGGGGGGGCAGAGAAAGGGGGGTAGAGAGGGGGGGCAGAGAGAGGGGGGCAGGAGATAGGGAGGGAGAGGCGCAGAGAGGGGGGGCAGAGAGGGGGGGCAGAGAGGGGGGGGCAGGAGATAGGGAGGGAGAGGCACAGAGAGGGGGGGAGGCAGAGAGGGGGGGGCAGATAGGGGGGGCAGAGAGGGGGGAGAGGCTGAAAGAGGGGGGGGCAGGAGAGAGGGAGGGAGAGGCGCAGAGAGGGGGGAGGCAGAGAGGGGGGGCAAAGAGGGGGGGAGAGGCAGAGAGGGGGAGGCAGAGAGGGGGGGAAGAGGCAGATAGGGGGGGCAGAGATGGGGGAGGCAGAGAGGGGGGAACGCAGAGAGCGGGGGCAGAGATGGGGGAGGCAGAGAGGGGGGAACGCAGAGAGCGGGGGCAGAGGGGTGGAGGCAGAGAGGGGGGAACGCAGAGAGCGGGGGCAGAGGGAGGAGGCAGAGAGGGGGGGCAGAGATTGGGGGGAAAGAGGGGGGGAAGCAGAGATGGGGGGGGGGGAGAGGCAGGAGAGAGACAGATAAAGGCCGAGAGAGCGGTGAGTGAGAGAGAAAGACAAAGAGAAGAGAGAGAGAGGCAGGGGGATTGAGAGGGAGAGCTAAGGGGGGGGGGGGGAGGGAGCGAGAAGGAGACAAAGGGAGGGAGGGAGCGACAGAGATTGCTCCGCGCTTCCGCGCGACGCCAGTCCCCTGCGCCTGACGCGAGCCCGGGAAGAAGACGTCGCCTGCTTGAGGTGGCAGGAGGGGGGGGGGGGCAGGAGGGGGGGGGGGCAGGAGGGGGGGGCGGTGGGGGTGAGGGGCGGAGGGGGGTGCCAACTGCAGAGCGGACATCTCACCTGGCGGGCAAGCAAATCTCGGCACCCCGAGACATCCTGCCCAGAATAACCATCCGGCAAACAACGCGATTTGTGCACACAGCGTTGGTGTACGGTGCTTTTTCTGCAATATTTTGCTGTCTTTTCTTGGATTTTCTGTTTGCACATAGTCACTTTAAGATGTTTTCTTGTTCATGTTTTTTTTTGTTTGTTGCGGTTGCACCCGATGCTCACAGGGCTACACCTAATACATGAACTTGAACTTGTCTCCCTCCACCCACACAAACCACGCAGCAAGCAGCCACAGTGGCCGCCTTGGTTAGCAGTGCACTCGGCAGAGCCCCCCCCCCCCACCCCCGGTTTCGTGTCCATCTCCCGGCGTGGTAGTTTAAACTATTACAAAATTAATTGCGTTTTGTTCCACCAGGTAAGAGCCACTGAGCTGTGTATCTATTTTTTCAGAAGCGAAATGGCTACCACAAATGATAGCTCAACTGGGTGGCTTATCGTCATGTGCAGATTCGAGCAGCCAAAAAACTCGAAACGCGTGGTGATGTTGATTCTAAATGAGGGGGGGGGGGGGGAACCGAATGACCCGGAGAAAAATTCCACGCGACCACAGGCGAGAGAGAGAGACACGCAAACTCCAAATATACAGCAGCAGGGGTCAGGGTCGGGATCGAACCCACGACCTCCTGCATAGCAGGCGAGGTAGTTAACATCTCCTAGCCACCATGATGATGATAATGATAGAGAGAGAAACACGCAAACTCCAAATATACAGCAGCAGGCGTCAGGGTCGGGATCGAACCCACGACCTCCTGCATAGCAGGCGAGGTAGTTAACATCTCCTATCCACTCTGATGATGATGATAGAGAGAGAAACACGCAAACTCCAAATATACAGCAGCAGGCGTCAGGGTCGGGATCGAACCCACGACCTCCTGCATAGCAGGCGAGGTAGTTAACATCTCCTATCCACCCTGATGATGATGATAGAGAGAGAGATACGCAAACTCCAAATATACAGCAGCAGGCGCCAGGGTCGGGATTGAACCCACGGGCTCCTGCATAGCAGGCGAGGTAGTTAACATCTCCTCGCCACCGCAAGTTTCTTAACCCCCCCCACCACCACCAGCGCCTCTGTCCACCCAGCAGATGGTGGGTGGGGTAAAGTGTAGGTACTCCCCACATCTTCCAAGACGTACTTGTATGTATGCTGAACTTCTTGCGTACCGTACGTAGTCAACCGCGCTAATCGGAGTTGCGGGGAAAGGACAATCAATCTAAACGCAGGAAGCGGTTCGAAAGAAATTAATATTCAATTCGAGAATGAAATCGGATGGATGCTGCTATAAGCTACTCATTGGGTGTGTCCGAGTGCGGACGAGTCGGTACAAGATTCCCTCTCAACGGGCTCCCAATAGCTCTCCTCTCCAGTGGAGGCCCCATCCGCCAGCACGCGAGCGAGCAGCGCCATTGCAGGGCTGCGCCGCTACTTTTAAACAAATCCACGCACTGGAAATCGTGCAACGTTAGAGCCGACTACGTGCATTGAGTATGAGAAATATCATCATCAGCAGCATCACCACGATCCACGTGGAAAACATGACCCGTTCGGTGTCCACCGCACATTTCCTCATTTTGTTTCCAATTTTCAATCATTGTCCCGTGCCAATACGCCCAAGTAGGGACGCGCATCTCTCTGTGAATCTCGGAGCGAGTAACCTCTGATGCGTGTCGCGCGGTCTCTATGAAATTCGTTTATAACCGCGCGGGACGCGGCCGGCAACGGAGCGACGCTCACGCGGGGTTTGAGATGTTGAGGAATCGAACGGCGCGGTTTTCCAATTTGGCAGGCCCTGCCCATCGCCCGAGCTTTTCTCCTGCGGCGTTAATATCGATGGGCCATTCCACTGTTTGGAAGGTGGAAGCCGACGTGTTGCCATCTCCCACAGGGAGCATGTCTTATTCGTTTAACACCTCGTATGGCTATCGTGACCAATATTACTCATAATAAAGGTGGGGGGTTGGTGAAGGTTGCCCTAAATCCGGCGACATGTTGGGATTGTGGTCTGGGGTATGGGGACCGAACGGATTTTTTTATTCTCTGTGCTGATCATTTTGTTGTTGTGTATTTATTCTCACTATGAGATCTCTTTTAACAGTGGCAAAATATAGTAGTAGGTTTTTACCCTTTTAAACTGGTACAAAACTGACACCATTATTCAAGGCAAACATGATGCCTTGAATAAAGGTGTCAGTTTTGTACCAGTTTAAAAGGGTAAAAACCTACTACTATATTTATTTCTCATTATTTATGTATTAATTTGTTGTTGGTTTTGATTTGCTAAGTAAGTGGGGGTTTTGTTTTTGTGTCATTTGCAGCGTTGTGGGATGCAATTGCAATAATGACGCTCTGTTAAATTAAATTACAATATTACCATATTATGAATAGAAATGTGCAATTCCATCATATGTTCATTCATTGCGAATAACCCAACCAATAAAATAGGTCCTGCATATTCTCAGATTAATATGATCGGTTTATATCGAAATAACGTCGTAAACTCGCCTCTGGTCTTCGTGCCTCATCGGCTCACAGTGATGACATCACCTTCGCTCTATTTAAGACCGAAACAGGAGGACTTCTTCACAATTTTGGCAAATCGCATGATGAGGCTTTGTTGTCGTAATCACCAGCGAAATATCACCGTACTCGAATAATAAATGTTGTGGGTTTACTCTCCAACACACCGGTGCGCGGAAGTAGTAACTAATTGCCACGTTTCTTGCATGTGACAAACCTTACTAATTCGCTGTCGGGTAGTGGCGGGTTTAACGACATATTTATATGTTTACGCGAAATAACCCAAAAACACATTAGTTAGGGTGTGCTCAATTTTCCATGTGAGTGGAATATTGTAATCTTTTATTTTATTATGTTTTATTTTTATTTTATTATTTCCCTTCTACGTGACTTTACCGAAATAACCAAGAATATTGTAATCTTGCCTACGAGTCTTCGAATCATGACATTGTACAGCGCTTTGGCAACCCACTGCTGAATAAAGGACTAACTCACTGCGTGTTGGGGGTCGTGGAGGTTGTTTGACCATACTTCACCACGCTGGTCAGTGTGGGATGGCTAAGAAGGTGGCGGAGAGATGGTGAGTAGCACAGGACCAGTTCGGACATCTCCTCATCACTGATGCTACCCGCACCTCCGATTAGCACGGTTGGTTATGTACGGTGCAAAAGAAGTTCAACGTACATACACCCATGGCTGGGAATCCAACTCAAGTCACCTGGGTTCATTAATGGCATGCGCCATCCAATGCACCACTCACTGCTCCCTGTAAATGCAAGTAAAATTTTCCACAACGGGCAGAGTGATGTCTCGATGAAAATAACGACGTGCGATAATGAAGCTAATTCACACGGAGCTTGTTGGATCTCTTAGCCAATGAGCATGAACTGTTCAAATGGCCTCTAACTTTCATCTCGATTGAGATTTAGTGGGCTCAGCGCACGCCTCGTTCCCACTGAAGCATCACAGCGGCGCCGGTCACAGATCTACATTGTATTTTTTTTTCATAGCCACCGTAGCTGAGGCTTTTACACACATTGTCTTCCTCTTCAAAACCGCCTGTGCCCTCTCAGCCCCCCCCCCTCCACTCGCCTACCCTCCCCTTCGCCCACACCCCTCCCTCTCCTCACCCCGACTCTTCCTGCACGCATGCATAAGAGACGCCGTCTCTCGTGCGCGTGCGGGAGGAAAAGTCACGTCCGCTCCCTTCCCCTCCACTGCTCTGTCAAGAGTCGTCGCTACCAATGGAAGCGACGCCTCGTTTCGTGATGCTGCTGCTGCATTGGCGGCGGTGCACAAGGACAATGAATTAGCAACTCAATACACTCGTCAACAACACTGTGGCCTTGAAATACACACGATGGTCATCGGCGACGTTTGTCGGGAAATGGCCCTCCAGTGTGCTATCCAAATTCACTAACTACCAGAAATGTCGCGAATTAAATTATCGTCTTCTACGGTCACGGCGCTGTTGACGAGTGCGTTGATAATATCATGTATTGATTTAAATGTATGTATGTTGAACTTCTTTCGGAACCGTTACGTAGCCAACCGTTCGAATCGAAGGTGCGGGGGAAGGATAACAAACTCTGCTCCAAATAAATTAGTTTTCAATTTCGATTTAAAAGCTCATAGCTCCAGTGGCTTCCTAAAAAAAGTGACGAGGGTTTGGGGGGGGGGGCACTTCCGCATAGAAGCTGCAGGGAAAGGCGAGGGGAAGGAAAACAATGACAGAAGTGAAACCAAAAAATGTTATTATCTGGCAGACGACCACGATGGGTCATACATTTATTTCTAAAAATACAGAGCGCCGGTCGGTGTGCCGAGAGAGATGCCTCACCGAGACGAGCGGTTGGCGTTGTCAGCTCGCGCGCGCGCGCGGATCGCGATGCGCGTGCCCTGATGCGCGTGCCCTGATGCGCGCGCGCGCGCTCGCTGGAGTGCCCGCGGAACCCAAATGGAGAGCAATTTGCCGAGGTTATTAAAAGCCTCTCTAAAATACATGGCGACATCCTGCTCCGCTGCTTATCACCGTCTGGGGGGGGGGGGGGGTGGGGGCGTAATTGGCCAACGCTGCAAACAATTAAGTAATTATTTGAAAGGATGCCAAGGCCCTGTACGCGGCTTATGGACCAAAGCGGATCCGTTTCCAATGGAGCTCGATTCATGGCGGCCTTTCTTCCTCCCCCACCCCCTCGCTCCATCCCGTCTCGCAAGGGGAACAATGGGGATACAACAGCGCTTATTCAGTGCCGTGTGCTGATGCTGCTGCTGCTCGCCACACTCACAAAATCGAGCGAGCAAATATTGAGTCGCTCGCTCCCGCGCTCTCTGCAACCACAGCGCGTGGATTTATAGCGATTATTCGTTTGCTGGTGGCTGTGTATTTCATATCGGAATTGCCTCCAGTGCTGTTGCTGCTGGCGGCAATAAAAGTTGTTTAAAAAGTCAAAGTCTCTGCAACCAGCAGGTGACTACGCCCGCATCCGTAGTCGAGCTTTTGTCCGGGACTCAACGAGAACCAGAGAAGCCGCCTTTCGAGTCTATTTAGTTTTTACAATTTAAAGTAATTTTTTAAAATGAATTTTACCAGGTAAGGCCCACTGAGCTATGTGTGTAGCTCTTTTTCAGAAGCGACCTGGCCACAAATGACAGCTCAACGGAGTTGGCTTATCATCGCGTGTAAATTGATAGTAGCCAAATTCTCGCAACGCGTGGTGACGTTGATTCTAAATGTAGAGACAAAAAACCGGAAGACCCGGATAAAAAAAATCCACGCGACCACAGAGAGAACATGCAAACTCCAAATACACAGACGTCAAGGTCGGCATTGAACCCACGACCTCCTGCGTACCAGGCGAGGGAGTTAACATCTCGCCCACCGTGGCACCCAAGTCACCGCGGTTATCACCTTAAGCTCCTCTCATCCAGCCGCGGCAGGAGTCCATTCCGCGCTTGTGACTTTGATTATAAGCGGGCGTGCTCGTACAATGCAACGACCACTCGGTCGGTACGGTGGAGAGAAAGAAGAGAGAGAGAGAGAGCGCGGGCCGAATCGATACGCGGGCGTGCCATCGAGGCTGCGGCGTGGAGTCTGCCCCGGTGCAGTCGTGCGGCGTCCTTCCCCCTCCCCCCCCCCCCTAGACCTGCACTCGTCAAGGTCACGAGGGGGGGGGGGGGTGGGCAGATGATTCCCGGAGCTTGGAGTGGCAGGAAAATCCCATTTCCCCATTAATGCGCGAGATGAATTGGGTTTTAATATTGAAGAGCTGCGGACTGCGCTCGCAGTGCGAGGACGACTTGGGTTAAGCCCATTAGCGAAATGTAATGCCGAATCCACCAGCGCGACGTTTTCTCCCACGACGAGAATGAATTTACGCCGCGTACGGGAAATTATCATTAGTAGCGACAGTTATTTGCTTATTTATTTACCCTGTGGATTGCAATTGTTAGTATTTGAGTGCGGAGGAGTAGGGGAGGTGGATTTTATAATGTGTGCACATGCTTACAATGGCACGTTGCAACATTCGCTTGTTCTGTCATCACGTCACCTCAACCCATTATCCCTGCAAGGGTGTATCAATTGGGGAACCACTTTGCAGGCAAATCAACACCGGTTGCCCTATGGGGGGCCCCCGACCCCGCCATAGGACCGTGGAATGTCCACCACTGACTCAGGGCTGCGAACAGCAAGTGAACACCGCCTACATCATCTCGATGCTCAACGAGCAAAACATCAATTTACATTTTACGTTTCACTTTTCAGCGCCGTCAAAATCCCACAGCAACCTCAGTCACACTGACCCCCCCCCCCCCCCCCCATGTTACCGATCTAACGAGTACGGCCAACACTGGGGGGGGGGGGGCATTACAATGAAAAACACGGAACGCTGCGCCAACATTGGGCCAACGGCTCCAGCCGCATGCCGACGTTGACCCAACGTCGGCATGTGTTTGGAGATCAGAGCGCACATGGGACTCCTCCGGTATAAATACAGATTCTGATCCTTCCCACTGTGGTTATCAAAATGGTCCACACGTGGCGGAGGCCTTCATCCTCTGCTAGCCGTTACCATGGCTACTCATGACCATTCCAAAAATAAAGACGACCCCTGTTGCGGCGACGTCACCATGGCGCTTGTGCCAGGCTAGGTGCACCTTTGAGCCCCCCCCCCCCCCCGGGGAGCCTCCAGCATGAGCAGAAATTTAATTGGTTTACGGTTTGCAACAAAAACAATCCATGGAGGAGAGGTAACCGGCCCCTATCATTCAACCACCGCACTCTGACGAAACATCTTGATACAGCAAGCGTGCTGTGACGGTTCCACCTGAAGACGGAAGCTTGTGGTGCCTCCGAAACGTCGTGATTTTTATTTTATTTTACTTTTATTAATTTTAATTCTTTACTTACGTGACTTTACCGAAAAAACCCAAGAATATGAATCCTTGCAGTCACGAAAGCTTCAAATCTAGAATCTGGAGGGTGCCTCTCTGCACCCCTCACGTTACAAAACGTCAGCACGTGCAGCACGGATGAAGTCGCGCGCAGCTCCCCCCCCTCCACCCATCGACGCCGATGGCACCAGCGCCTGCAGATTAAACCGCGTGCGATGGTAGCAGAGGGGGGAGAGCCGTGGTTTGTTCTGAACGTGCGAACGGCGCGGGCCTTCCGTGCTAACGACAAGCGGCGGGGCGCGCCCCCCCCCCCCCCCCCCCGCTCGTCTCTCTCGCCCTGAAGGTCGCCGGGCTTAAGCACACAACGGCACGCGCGAGGATTAACGCGATCTCGCGATGAGATTTACATTCCGCGCAACGCCGCTTCTCTCCGCCAGCACGATCCTCCCACGGATTTATTTTTTGTGTGTTGGCTGGAATACTGCTCGTTTGTCCTCAATCGTTGCTGCTGCTGCTGCTGACAAAAGCCCCAAGAAGCATTTGCCGGGTTTGTGATCAGGCGGTGTTGATTGCCTCTTTGAGCAGAAGGGGGGGGGGGGGGGAATCGGAAGTGATTTATTGCTCAATTGAGCATCGAGGCGTTGTGCTCATCTCCTGTTAACTTCCCTGGGGCAGCGGTGGACATTCCACACTCATATGGCAATAGTGCACTTATTTTATGGACTCCAGAGGGATGATGAGCTGAGTCAACTTCCAACCAGGATCTAAACTCACAACCTACCGCCGAACCACCTGGTCAAATGTGCAAGAAAGTCATTGGTAGTGTGATCCGTGCCGGATTATCATCGTAGCATAGGTAGTTACACATGTAGCTACGGGCCCCGCACTTTCAAGGGCCCCGCGCTAAATGTTTTGAAGCTATCAATTCCGGTTCAGTGATTCTGCACTTGCACTATTACTATAGTACTATACTGCCTTCAACTTTATGAACGACTGAGTGTTTAAGGTTAGCGATTTGTCGTATTATCTGGCTGTATAGCAAATGAAAAAATATAATTACTTTACTATGCAAATACAAATTTTGTGTTTTATATTTGTGTGGCTTTTTTTTATTAGGGCCCCTTTATAACATATTCTACAGGCCCCAAACTAGCTTAATCCGGCACTGAGTGTGAGCGTGTCCTATACGTGTTAACACATGCGCAACACGAATGACAAGATGATACAATTTGTGTCTCATTAATCCATGACATTATATATATATAACATGTAGATGAGTGTCGATTGGAGTCCAGATTGGTACAAGTAGGGGTGTGTGTGCCATGTGAAGAAACTAAGCTTCTAAACTCATTTTTATTTTACCACGAAAGGCCCACTGAGCTATATAGCTATTTTTCAGAAGCGACCTGGCCACAAATGATAGCTCAACGAAGTGGAAATGTATAACAGCCAAATACTCTAAACGCAAGACCAGAGGACCCGGAGAAAATCCACGCGACCACGGGGAGAGAGACACAGACACTCCAAATACACAGCAGGCGCCAGGGTCGGGATTAAACCCACGACCTCCTGTACACCAGGCGAGGTAGTGAACATCTCGCCACCGTGGCGCCACTGGCGAGATATAAAGCACTTGCCTGTGCCGGTGCAAACTTGCGGATTGGCATTAATGTCCCCATTAATTAAGGCCGTAACTTATAACTCGCCCGCAATTACTTCTCCTCCGCCGCTTTGCTTCGGCAGTTTAATTGCGCTCGTGTCCCAGTGCCGATCGCCAGGTGATCTACACCCGACGAATCGCCCAACTCAGCAGAGCGCGAAACCCGACAGTGGCATCGGACCCCGCGCGACGGACCGCAGCTTCCCGTTAA